TGTGCCACCTCAATTCCCTAAGTTTGTACACTAACTGCTGAGCATCGCTAAGGCATTTGCTTTAAAAAATTTTAACCCAATTTCTGTGTTTAGAAAACTTTTTTCCAGTCCCTCTCTCTCCCATGGCTTAATCTAAAATATTTATCTCTCCTAGTGACATTGGATAACTGCAAATACAATTTTTACTTTTATTTGTGCTGTTAACCTTATGATCAATAGCGTACTTTGCTATAGTTGCAAATTTTAGTCTTAGTTTAACAATTTATTATTATTATATTATTTAATCGCTATGTGACAATAGTTATTTCTCCCACTACGCATAATAATATACACATCCTACTTGATTATATTTGATTCTACTGATCCCCATTGTTTCAAATAGCTGTGACTAATATTTTACTATGCAATTAAAAAACCAGATGAGAATTTACTGGAAATACGTATTTGCTTTGCTTCAGAGGTGATGAAGATTCCTGGCCAACAGCAACAACAACAGCAGACAGTCAGCATAAATGGGAGAAATTTGAAAGAAGCAAACTCCTTTACCTACCTACCTGCCTACCTGGGGAGCATCGTTTCAACTACAGGCGGACTGAACTGATGAGGACATCATCGAAGCGAGGATCGGGAAAGCAAGACAAGCTTTCATTACTCTCAAGTCTGTGTGGAGATCAACAGCACTCAGCATGAAAAATAAGATCTGGATTTTCAACTCCAAAGTAAATTCAGTGCTACTATACGGACCAGAGACTTGGCGCGTCATGAAGAGCACCTCAAACAAACTACAGACTTTTACCAACAGCTGTCTTCGCTCAATAATCAAGATCAGATGGCCAGAAAAGATCAGCAACAGGGATCTCTAGCAATGAGCGAACCAACCAACCCAGCAGGAACCAATTGTGCAACAAATATGCAGGAAGAAATGGAGGTGGATTGGTCATATTCTGAGGAAACAAACTATCAAGTGATATCACACGCCAGGCCATGGCTCGAGTGGAACCCGAATGGGAAGCGGCGAGTTGGTTGTCAGTGTGAGAGTGACATGGAGGAGATCATGTGAAGAGGAGATGAAAGCATGTGGGCAGACGTGAAGCCAGGTGAGAACGTTGAAAGAGAACCAAACACAATGGAGACGTGCGGCTGAAGCCCTATGTTCCTCTAGGAACTAAAGGAAACAATAATAATAATGTATTTGCTTAAATCCTATTTTATAATTCCTTGTTTTGTCAAGAATTTTCCAAATATTTTACAAAAATGCTTAATTAATCTTGTTTCAGTAACACATCAAATTTGTTATCAAACTATTTCGTCATTTTGTCCAAACGTAAGTATTATCCGTTTCAATTGACAAACAGATTGACTAAATATGATTTTGGTTATTACTGAAAATGAACGCATACATTTATATACACACACATCACAGTTGTCGAAATCCATATGTGGTAAGAATACCTAATAGTATCTTATTTCTCTTTTTTACATCCTGTTGCCTTCCGAGTGGAATATATGACTTCAAGGTTTGTAGTCTCAGTAGCGATAGTGTTGTTGTTTTCTCTATGGTAAAAGGTTGCTAGCCTCACACCTAACCTTCCCTCTTTTCTCAGTTTACTATTGTCTAGTAAACTAGGCAAGGTTTTGGAGTGGGTCGGCCAGGAGTCGAACCCAGATCACGAAGATGATTGGCGGGTATTCTATTGCTGAACCACCAATGAACTATATTGTATAGTGACATATAATACTGCAGTCAAGCTAATAAATGGTATTACAACAAATCATTTCACTGTAATTTGTATTCACATGAATGTGTTACCCTTCACTAGGGTACTAGGTGCTATTGATCTCTTGAAGTCACCGAACCTCTCAACGATAAGTTTAAATCACCACAAGGATGATCAGGCAGAAACTTTCCATTCTGTGCGTTAGTTATTACAGTTTTAGCAAAAGTTAGACCACCTACTATGTAAACTGTGGTGAGAGAAATACCTACAGTTTAATCAATAACTAATTAAATAGACTTTGTGCAAACAAAATTAAAAAAGTAACTTTTCACTTCACTTCAGTTATTCCTCAACTATTCAATTCACTACATTCAGAAATTTGTATGTACTATTTCTCCTTTAGGGGAATAGAATTAATCTTCGTAGACAGAATATCACCTGTTTCTAAATTAAAATTACTGAGTTTCCTTCTGTAGAATTAATGGTGGGTTAGATACTATCGTTTGTGGGAAATCAACAAACTCTAATAAATACTCAGAGTAGGCTTTAATTCATCCCATCCAGAATCCGTAAAGGAAGGTTTAGTTAAGTGTATATATAATCAGAATGGGAGGCGGAGAGTTGGTCGGCCTAGGGTAACATGGAGGAGGTTGTGCGAAGAGGAGATGAGAGCGTGTAGGCAGACGTGGGGCTAGGTGAAAACATCGGCGAAGAAACGAACTCAGTGAAGACGTACTGCTAAAGCCCCATGTTCCTCTAGGAACTAAAGGAGAAAATAATAATAATATATAATCGGGCCAAAAGCCTAATTAGTAAGTCAGAAAATTTAAATAATGAAGTCAAACAAATAAGGAAAGCATCACAACTCACCATAATTTATTCAGGAATGAATGAAAATCCATAGGAAACACAAGAGTAGTAATGAAAATGATAAAAATAAGATATATAGTAGGGGATTCAAAGTCTCTGTAGTTTTGCCTTATGAAGAAGGAACATCAGAGGCCCTATGTAGGATTCTAAATGAGGCTTGAATTAGGGTGGCATGTGAAACAACCAACTCTCTCAGAGAAAAAAACTACTTTTGCTTAAGGACCTGATAGATTTAATTACGAAAAATAATATAATTTATCGAGCACCATGTAATGACTGTTACTTCAATCAAATAGGTCAAACTAGTAGATTGGGATCAATTAGATTATCTAAAGATAGAATGATTGATTCTGCTAAGTTAAATAATCTAGGGAAATGTTTGGCCAGTGCATTGTATTCGCTTCCATACAATAATCACGCGTCGGTGGCACAGTGGTTAGGACTCTCGCTGACCATGCACATGGTCCGGGGTTCGATCCCCTGCCGACGCACACCTGATATCTATGGTCGGCCTGCAAAATTTGGGCTACAACAATGGTTTGGGATAGGGTAAAAGTATTAGAAAGTAGGATAGTTAGGTGGGAAGGGAGGTTAATCACTGAGTCTTTGTTCATTGAGTCAACACCAAGCACATGCAATCGATATGACGCAACGGCTATACCGGATACATGTAAAATTGCAATAAGAAACAGGGGACGGCGAGTGAATTTATATAAAGCGAGTTGTGAGGCCTTGTGAAAACACAGATAGGATTCTGAACAGTGATAAACTGTGCTCGAGACGTTATCCAGTCACCACCACTGTATAACTTCCTTGTGTTATAACAAACAAAACAATATCTAACATTGAATTTCCTTCGGTAGGCGTCTGCAGCAAAAATTTTCATTTCCCGCGTATAGTATCAAACGTATACATTAAAGTTAAACACCGAAAAAATTATGCTTCACTAATATGTTGTACATTAAAAAAATACAAATTCATTTAAGTATCTTGTGCGTTGGTGGCACAGCGGTAGAATTCTCGCCAACCACGCATATGGTCCGGGGTTCGATCCCCGGCCACCGACACATCCCTTTACCTCTCTAGCCAGTAATAGGACTGGTAAAGAGGGAAGGTTTTGCATGAGGCTCTCAACCCCATCCCGTAAAAATAAATACCACTGCTACCGAAACTTCAAGTCTCTAGCTTGAAACCCAGTGTTCTACAGGGAACGTAAAGGAATAAAAGAAATCATTCTTAGAATTATGGCTTCTCTCTTCATCCCTTTCCATATCAAGTAGAATATAGAACTTCAAACTATGAAGTTTCAATAGTGGTGTTTCTTTTTCTGTTACTGGGTGAGGTTTCTGGCCTGACATCCAACCTTCCATTCACTCGGGACTAAGTGAGATTTGGGAGTGCATCGTCTAGTACTACGTGGTTGATCCGAGATTATTCTACTACTGACCAACTAAAGCACTCTACTGTATAAATAAATGTATTGTGAAAAAAGCATTTTAAGCTAATGTTAGTCACTGCCTTGAAAAGACATCTCTATTCTTATGGACACTAAATATTTTTAAACTAATGACGTTTTTACATTATAAGTATTCAGGTGGAGTTCAACTACAACAGGCATCACTAAGTACCTTCTAAATGATCTCGAACAAGCAGCCATAGTGAAGTGACATTAAACTGTTATTAAACTGTATTCCCATATATATATATATATATATATATATAGGCAGCCTTAATCCTCCTTATTAGTAGTGTAAAAGATTTTCCAAATTAAGCATAATAGATCATCGTAACAGACCTAGATAAAACCAAGAAACCAGATCAAGAGTAAAACTGTGAACGCAATAGCCTTATGGCATTCATGTTGAACACTGTAATTGGTTGCTTCAACGTGATTTTTTCAAGGTTCTTCGGTCGAGTTATTGGTGGTGGCTGTCCATAATTTAAAGGCATTTGTGGGTTGAACCTGAAAGTGTACCCAAAGTTTATTTTAACTGTGATGTGTGTTATTCTTATAGTGCACAGTATTTTGAAGACAATATTCACTTGGTAGCATTGTGATATCAATCAGAAAAGTTCTTTATCATTGGTAAATGTAAAAAAGAGTATTGCTTTAGAGATTTATGTTCTGATTGCATTTTATCGTGTAATTAAAACAAAGGCGTTTTTTCTGCAAAGCAGTTTATCCCTGAAAAAATTCACGAAGTAAAATATAAAATATATCATTCAGTCACATGAAGTGATGTTTGCAATGAAATGATAACCTAGTGTAGTAGCTGAGTCCTGTAGCTCATTCAGATGATGCAGTACTAGGCTAGTAATCTGTAGGCTGATTGTTCGAGTCTTGTCGCTGTTCAGATTATCACTTTACCTCTAATCATCATCCATAACAGAAATAAAGTTAGATGAACTCACCGTAACTGTTTATAGCAAATGGGCTATCAAAAGGTTCAAGACGATAACCACAAATGGCTGTATTCACGTGATCATTGGTTTGACTAACTTCTTCTATTGCTTGAATTTGACCAACAATACTGCCAACTGGACTTCTTTGACCAATTTTAAAATTATAATGAGGTTTATCGAAGACTGGTCCATGTCGATTTATCACTTGAATACGAATTGGAACTCTGTATTGTATATGAGTAAAAAATTTAAAGAAAATAAGATAATTCACACCAGAGGATAAACTCCTTCAGTTTCTAGGGAGAAAAATTTTTAGTAAAAGCATGATACTCTATCGCTATGTCCATCACCAGTCTTTGAATTTTCTTACAAATACGAAAGTGATTCGTATCAATGTTTTGGATTCTTACAGATTTGATGATGAGCTGAGGTAGGTTAGAGAACTACTGGAAAACCAAGGAGTACTGGACAGTTGTTTCGTCCTAGTTCGGTGCTCTTCAGCACTCCGCACTCACCGGGTTTAGAACCCAGGTCCTTTCCTGTTACAAAGCGAGCTCGTATACCCTTCAGCCACTGCGACTCAATTTAGTGACCAGTGAATTCCAACCTCTGCTAGTTCGCGAGGTATATAGAGCAATCACCAATCAATGTCATAAACGAGAAACTGTTCTTTAAGCTAACTTGATGAATTCTACTGGTCATGGCTTCTCACTAGAACTTCAGCTAACTTCCTGTATACATCCAGTCGCTAGTGAGCATCAGATTAATTTTCAGTTGTTGGTATCCCGAACTAGGACGAGACACCTGTCCAGTACTCCCTGGTTTTCCAGTCGTTCTCTAACTGATATCAGCTAGTAGTCACACCCGTAAACAGTTAAATCCCTGCAAACCAACACTTAGAAGTTTCGGATTCTGTATTAAATGCCGTCATGGTTCAGCCAGTGCAAAATAGTAGCAATAAAAACCCTAAAAGTGGTTAAGGAGATCTATACTCATTTTCAAAATGTACTCCTATTTGTTCTCTGAACAACTTAAATGCAAGTAAATAATTTTTTTGATTATATCTTGAAACCACACAGTATTTTTTTGGTACAAGTATGGAATTTTCAGCATGTGATATCGGTAGCCCAAATTTTGCAGGCCGACCATTGATATAGGTTGTGCGTCGGCAGGAGATCGAACCCCGGACCATGTGCATGGTTGGCGAGAGTCCTAACCGCTGTGCCACCGACGCGAAGATCTGGCTAGAATTCAACTACCCGGCACCGGGCTTTGAGCCACACTTATTGTATCAGAGTTGGTGATACTAACCAGTTTCCTAAGCTAAAGTAATTGGAGTAAGGTGAGAATCCAAGTCCCATTGGTTGGATTCGACTGCTTAAACCAATGAACCACATCTTGTTTATGACGAGTGATACTGGGTTGTGGGTTCGTCTAACTTGACTAGAATGTGCCTCCAGAATACATCTCTATAACCAAATGATCACTTGAATTTCTCTGCAACATTGAGATGAACACAAATGTTAGGCTGGGGAAAAAGGACGACCACAACGACCGCTTTTATTAGACAAAATATATTATTTTGTATTTACAAATCCTCAGAAACTTAAGCCATAAATAAAACAAATCTGATTGGTCATATGATATCGAAATCCCTCAGGAAGTTAAGCCACAAGTAAACGAATCAAAATTGTCCAATCAGGTTATTATATCACTATATGCATAAATCACTACTTCATGGCTGGCAAAGAAGCTTGTTCGTTCTAAAAATCGCTTGGTTTCTGTTTACAGTTCTAAAGTTCTACTGCTAGTCGATAAGCAACTGGAATAATCTCAAAAATATTTTGATGTCAAGGTAAAATTTTGAAAAAAGTAACGTAAATTCCTCATGCTTTCAGAATATCCTCCTTTACAGCTACGATAAAATAGGTATGACAGGGATAGGGCATTCAACATAATACCCCGGTACTGATCACCTCTGAAATTCCTATATTAAATACAATATTCATCAAAGTTACAGCATTCACTGCTCAAAAACAGATTTCCCTCAGTATACATCTAAGCAGTTTCACTCAACTAAATACACACTCTTAAAACTTTCTGTTCAGATAAATAATTGCAAGTTGATACTACTAAGGCTGTTTTACCTTCACTTGTTGCATTTAACACGATGCTTGTTATAGGAAAGTACATTTTATGAGTGAAAATAATTTAGCTTTCAGCGTACAAGTATACAACAATCACATTGTACACCATCTAAATAAAGTTGTCAAAATTTAAAAGAAATAAATCTGACAGGATTGTTCCTTTCGGTTACAAGTTTATCTTTGATAATAAAATGCCTTATCCACAATAAGTGATAGCAACAAATGACTTCCCTATTTTTCTGATCCTCACTGTTATTAGTTAATCAACTTTAAAGTATCAGATGGTAAAAGTCAACTTCCTTTGTTATGTGTATACAATACAAACTGATTGACAGATAAATTGAAATGTGACTCCTGAAAGTTTAAAGTTTTTCTGTTTACATCAACGATATTAATATGTCACTATATGCAACGGATATTATTTAATATTATTGATTTTTAATCAAGGATTTAGCACGTGTTTCAAACATTTATATATTTTTTGAGATAAATGTCTGTTTCTCTCTCCTCATTTCAGATAAAATTGAAATTGACAACAAATCTTATGAGAGATTGACAAATAGCATACACCATCTCTGATATTGCCAAAATGTCCAGGTTAGCTAGTCAGTTGTGATCACTTTACTAAACCTGATCAGTTTCGTATTTTGACAAAATAGGATTTCAATATAGCAAAAATATTCATTCAGACATCGATAAAACACAAAATAATTGAGCAAAGAAGAATATCCTTTTCGATAATTTCCTCTTCTGGCTCTACATTTATACATATGTATGTTTATATACATAGAATATTCTAGATTAGTAGTGAATAACCTCAACTACAGGAGGAACGGACGAAGATGTCAAATCGAGAATCGGAAAGGCGAGAAACACATTCATCAACCTGAAACCAATCTGGAAATCTTCGCCACTCAACTCAGCATCAACAACAAAATTCGGATTTTCAATACAAACGTCAAGTCAGTCAGTTCTTCTATACGGATCAGAAACTTGGCCAGCGGGTCACAAAGAATATTTCCAACAGCCTGTTGCAGACCTTTATCAACAACTGTCTTCGCTCTATACTGAAGATCAGATGGCCGGAAAGAATCACCAACAAGAAACTATGGGAACAAACAAAACAGGAACCAATCGCCCAACAAATATGCAGGAGAAAGTGTTGATGGATTGGACACTCGTTGAGGAGGCCGCTGGGTGACATCGCGCGTCAGGCCAGTGCTTGAGTGGAACCGAAAGGGAAGCGGCGAGTGGGACGTCAGTGCAAGGGTGACATGGAGGAGACCGTGTGAAGAGGAGCTGAAACAGTATGGACTAACATGGATGCAAGTGAAAAGTACAGCAGAATACAGAGACAAGTGGAGACGTGCAGTTGAAGCCCTATGTTTCACTAGGAACCCAAGGGAACAATAATAATATAATAGTAGTGAATAACAATATTATTTTTTAAATAATATGGATTTGTAAAGTAAGATCAATGCAATTAAAGTTCATTAAAGATGTTTAAATAATAACAATAATAATAAAGATATAGTAGCAAATAGAATATCAACTAAAGTTAGGAAAATTCCACAAAAATTCGTGATCATTCAAACCTAGATAGATGGCCAAGGTAAGGATAATGTCTGAACTAACTTCTTTTGGACACACAAATTAGGATTTTCGGTTTTTGCATGGTTGTAACCAAAAACAAAAACGGAGAGCTGTGTATTACAGTATTCAAGAATTTTATCAGAAAAAAAACCCAGTTCATTTCAAAGTGGTTTGCCTTCTATACACGCTTAACTTGTTATAGACACCTATGAATAACACTTAGGTGTCATTTATAAGTTACAGTTGTGACAATTATAACTAATGGAGACAAACGTATGAATCAAGCTTCTCTTATCTTAGCCTATACAATGGAATAAAACACTACAGACAGTCTTGTATGAAATGTGATGCACTGCAATGACTGTGGTTATTCATCTAAACTAACCACAGTTAGTCATCTTTGACAGTTTATTGTATTTTGTACTTGATTATTTTAAAAAATTCCTTTCATCCTGTAATTAACTGAATTTACTAAAATATGAACGACACATATGAATGTTTGGAGGCTATTGGCAGAAAGCTATAGACCTGTGTCGTATGTGGTTATCGGTACCGGTCATCAAGTCGCATCTGCAACCTTGAAAGAAGTGATATCCTTTCCGAAAATTTGAATAAAGCAAGAACAATAGTGGTTTGTGCAGAATAATATGGTACCATCATTTATTTCGTTGGCTTCTCATCAGCTGCTTACAGCCTAAATAAATTACGAGGTTTGCGTACAGAAAAGTTTTAACATACTTGCAAATTTTACATGTTGTCAGTTGACAAAAAGTTCACAATAAGTGAGCAGTGCTCAGAAGATTGCGCTTATATACTTTTTCAAGCAGTTCAAGTTAACAAAATAATGTATGCATACAGGTAAAGGAGTTACGTAATAAAGACGAATGGTAGATGAGTATAATAATTGGTAACATTACTGAGTTCAATCACATAGAAACAAGAGACAGCAATTACAGATTAAAAAGGTGAGGTTAAAGACAAAGATTACGTAATCAGATGAGAGAATGAAGACATTCAGTTACCAGGGCAAGGAAAGATTAATAACTGCTTCGTTCTGAACACATAAATCTGGTTTCAAGCGTTTGATAGAAATTGCTTCGGCAAACTTGAGGAGAATGGAACTCCTTTGTCTTTATCCTCTCATCTGATTACGTAATCTTTGTCTTTAACCTCACACCTTTTTAATCTGTAATTTGCTGTCTCTTGTTTCTATGGTTTGAGTTGAACTCAGTACATTGTTACCTAATTTATTAATCACTCTGTATCTAACGCATATTTCGTCTTTATTACGTAACTCCTTTACCCCTGTATGCATACATCTATTTTGTTTAGACTTGAACTGCTTGTGTAAAAAGTATATAAGCGCAATCTTCTGAGCACTGCTCACTTATTGTGGAACTTTTTGTCAACTGACAACATGTAAAATTTGCAAGTATGTTAAAACTTTTCTGTACGCAAACCTCATAATTTATTTAGGCTGTAAG